TCAGCAGGAGCCTTTCAACCATACTTGAATCAAGAAAAAAACATAAGCTCAGATGATGATGGATCTCCCAAATCAATGCCAGCGATTAAATTGATTTCCTCAGTAAGCAGTAAGTATCCATTGAACATTGTTTGCTCAGAACACTGAGATAGTTTGTCCTTGTTACATTTATCACGTACATAGATATTGCTCAAGTAATTATAATAAGCATATGCTTCAGCTAAACTAATTATTACACCATATCTCAGGAGCCTTTGAGAAAAATGGAACCCACAATAGAAACAGAAGATCCAAGATCCACGATTTTTTGCCGGTCGTGGCAGCCTCTATAAAACGAGTAACCCACTGCTCAACCTTTTAATCACATAAAAGAGAAATTTGTGTAATATGTCAGATGATATGCTATAACCTATTACCAAGACTCCACAACAGAGACTGGCATAAAGAATATTACTAAGAGAAAGCAATATTGAGTCTTGACCATTGACCATTGACCACACAAAGCATGCCAGAAAGTGCAAAATTACCAGCTCTTATAGCTTGGTTTGCATGCTAGGCTTCCTTCTGCTAAAACGGACACCCTCCTAACTACAAAAGCTAACTGTTAACAGATTTCCTGCCAAACTTCCTGCTGGCTTGGGTATCCATGATAACTAGCTAGGATTGCTGGAATAGCTCTTGTTTGCTAATCTATCCCCCTGCAAAATTCCTACTGCTCCTATTTGAAATCTGACTGGAAAGTCCAGAAACTCCTCCCATGTGGCATCTTCCTTAGCAGCATTAACTTCCATTGAAGACCGACCTCAGTAATTCCTCCATTGCTCTTCTTCACCTTTCATATATCCAATAATCAACAGGCTGCTCTTGTATGATCCCGTCAGTATTGGTAGTAGGCAAAACATTGTAAGGAGAAAGGATGCCTTGTAAGGCATTACAGATTGGAAAACCGGATGTAATTTTGAACCACTTGGAAGTTGGAGCTTATAAATTACCTTTCCTACCTGGGCAAGAACCCCAAATAAGAACTTGGCTGTGACAAGAGTGACTTGAAAGAGAAGCATGTCAGCAAGGAGCCAACCTGAGATACGCAAGACAATTAAAGAAAATTAGTACAAGAATATGTCCATGGAAAGAAATTAACATAAAATATTTAATTAAAAACTTCAATCTGTCCACTTAACCGCGCATAATGCATATCCATAATTTAAACTTAATGAAATAAAGAAAGCAATGGTTTGCAAAATCCATGATTGCATAAACTGGAATAAGAGGGATTTACTTGCTGGCAGAGTATGGGTTTCAGACAATACAGACGTGCATTAAATAAACTCCCTAGGTTATAACCAGATATACCAAGTCAAGGGAGACGTCAATCTTAGAGAACCATTGAGAAGAATTCAATTTATCAGGCTTATCTTCAAGTCTAGATCTGAAAAACTGAATACCTGGCAGTAATCTTATTGATGGCAACACATATACTTGCTCAGTTTTTTTTATCCCAACAAAAAAATAATACAAGTTCCTGAGAAACCTTAGAATGGTCCAATACAAGTGAAAAATTGACTTGGCTTTTTTGGGCTGCGTGAAAAGAAAACTATCAATCATATTTAATCATCCAAAAGCCAAGTGTCTGAAGCTTGTTATAATTTATATCAGGGGAGAAACTTATAAGAAAACAACATAATTAAAGCAAAGCAAAACCTATCACACTTCAGTTGAATTCCTTGTTAACAAGAAGGAAAAAAAACGATATTTAACAAAAATAAAATAATAAAAATATCATTGTTGTGCAAAGGGTAGAAAAACCAATGGTAGACAAGGATGGAGAAATCACAGATATTACAGACCCATCTATCATATAACCAAATAACTGCATCTTATTAAGATTTCATTTAAAATTCCAAACTCTCTCAACACATGCCTTCTTGGCCTGATTTATGAAAGAAGATACCTTTCTCACCAAGTCCACAGGCTTGTCACAATTTGGGTTAAACAGGTGAAACATGCGGTCCTCCCCAAACACAGACATATCTGCAAATACATAATCACACACATTAGACTATGAGATAGCAGGAAGGAAAAAAATAAAAACTGAATAAGCCTTTTTTTTCATGAATAACATGCTTGGTGGAAGCTTAACTACTAATGAGTATACACATCAATCGAATGTGCCAGGCTCACAAGCGATGATCAATGTGTCACATAAGGAAGAAAAAAAAATATATATATATATATATATATATAAACATGATAAATGCTTGTAATTTATTTGTTTGTAGATTTGTAGTTTACCCTTTTCTCCACAAATACGAGCTACAATGAAACAACACCCCAAGCTTTTTTTTTCAGTTCTAATGTTTTTCTTGCATATACAGAACAAATACCAAATTTCAAGCCTCCAAAACAACGCTAATCATAACAAAGAAACAAAACACAACATGTAGAACAAAAAACAGACAAAAGAATACACAAATTAAAATCATAAAATAAATTAACCATCATATCAAATGAAGTGAGAAACAAGAAGAGAGAAGTTACCTTGCTAGCAAGAATCAAACCCCAAGTAGTAGTAATTGCAGGTTCAGGACACGTTTTCCATTTCCCTTTAGTTCATGTGGCATTCTAGAAGAAATTTTGTAGTTTGGTGCAGATAAAAATCAAGATCATATCCAAAAGATCTCATCCTACTAATGAGATCAAGGGCGTGATCCTTTTTGTCTTGGGAACGAAGAAGACACTTGAGCAGCTGGTTGCATATTTCAGGCATTAACATGAAACCCTTCTCCAGAGTATATAGGAAGACACCTATCGCCTGGTCCAAGTTCCCTTCTTTGCAGAGACCATTGATCAAGTGTACACAACTTGGTGGAGTGACAATGACTTTGTACTCGTCAAGAACAGAAAATATTCTCAAAGCTTCATGTACTCTTCTCACCTGACACAAACCGATTAGCAAAATGGTGCACGGTACTAAATCAAAGTCTTTGAAGTTTACATCCATTTCCAGTACACCTCTGATTGCCTTCTCAGTTTTCCCTTCCTTAAAGTCTTCTTCTATTGCTTTGATTTTTTCCTCTTCTCTCAGAGGAAGGTTGCTTAGATACTTCAACCAAAGACTAAAAGCTAGAGAAATCTTCTTTCTCCTGCAAGACCAAGTCATCAGTGATTTATAAACTGCAGAGCTAGGCATGCATCCATGCTTCACCATTTGATCAAAGACCACAAAGGCATCCTCTTCTCTATCAACCCTTTGCAGTCCATCTATAAGCGTCCCATATGTAATAGAATCTGGTGAGAGCCCTTTCAATTGCATATCCTTGAAGAGCTTAAAAGCACCATTTATGTTACCAGCCCTGCAAAACCCATTGATTAGAATGTTGTAAGTGATGATGTCAGGCGTGACACCACTATCAGCTAGCTGCGTCAGAAGTTTGTAGGCCTTAAGAATCAATCCTGACTCACACAATTGCTCTACCTTCATTTGAAGACTGGCACTGTCAGTAATCCGATTACTACCTTGAGAAAGACGAAGAAATAATGAAGGATTTCTTCCTATCTCCATCTTGTAAAATAATAAGTGCGCTTCCTCAAGCTTAGAAGCCTTACAAAGTCCATCAATAAGAGCATTGAAGGTCACAACAGAAGGGACACATCCAAGCTTCTCCATCTCATTGAATATTTGTTGCGCCTCCCCTACCAGCCCGTTCTTGCACATACCACATATGAGAATGGTGTAAGTGCAGGCATTAGGGAAGCAATCTAGCTTTGAAATATCAAGATGAAGAGACCGAGCTTCATCCAAAAGACCCAAATCACAGAACCCTTTAATGACAGCATTATAACAGTAGGCATCCGGAACCAAACCTCTCTCATTCATCTCGTTCAAGAAATTCAAAGCATCCTTAACCCTGCCAGCATCTGATAACCCCCGAATTATTATCGTACACAAGACAATGTCAGGTTTGATGCCCTTCTTGATCATTTTGCTATACCACCCATGCGCTTCATCAAATCTCCCAGCTATAAATAAACCATGAATCAAGCAAGTATATCCATTGAGTCCGAGAACATAATCATCCCTCTCAAATGATCTCAAGAGCGCATAAGCTTCACCAATGCTGCCTGATTTACAATACCCATC